GCTTCCCCCTTAAGGGGTTACTTCCCGTGGCAACTCCAGGATATCTGGAATGAAGCGGACTTAGGTGTTGTGTCTCTGCAGGGGTCTGGGGAAAGGTTCGAGTGGGTTCTGATGTATTTAAGCTGGGCGGCTACGGGCGGAGGGTGCCCCCTCAAGGCCACAGATCCTCCGAAGCGGTGTGGCCACATGGGAGAGAATGAAGACACCTGAGGTCGCGAGGCCTCTCGGCCGCTGCTCGACCACAAACCCCAGGTAAAAAGCCCCTCCCCCTCAGGCTGACGCAGCAGACACGCACCCACCCTCACGGGAGACCCAGCAAGACCTTCTGTAGCAAGTCGACACTGAGGTGCCCAGCCCAGGGAGCCGGGTGTCTCCACTCCTACCCTTTGTCATGGAATACCACTCCCCTTCCAGGCCCTGGCGCTCAGCAAGAAACTGGGGCGCTGAGGCCGACCCCGATGGCCCCCCCACTGCCATATTGGCTCAGTGTTATGTTTATTAAAGTAGTGTTTTTTATTAAAGTTTTAATAAAGTTTTATTAAAGTCTTTATTAAAGTAGGTGTGGCAGCGTGCTAGAGACGTAGGAATGTAGAGAGGGAGAGAGAGAGGGAGGGAGGAGAGAGAGAAGAGAGAGGCTGCCTCTATTACTGGTTCACTCGCCACATGGTTTTAACAGTCAGGGCTGGGCCAGCCCAAAGCCAGAAGCCCAGAACTCCATCTGAGTGCTCCCACTTGGACTATCTTCTGCTGCCTTCCCAGGAGCATTAGTAGGGAACTGGATCTGAAGTGGAGCAGCCAGGACTCAAATGGGCACTCCAAACATGGGAGGCTTAACCTGCTGCACCACATGGTGACCCTGTTAACTTCACATATATGAAATCATATTGTATATGTCATATGTGTTTCATTAAGCAAAAATATTTTCAAGGATCAACCCCATTACAGGTTATACCAGTAGTTCCTTCCTTTCCATGGTTGAGTAATATTCCCTTGTGTGTGTATATATTTATATATATATATATAAATAAATAAATAAATAAATTATTCCCCTGTGTATGTATATATTCCCTTGTGTGTATGTATGTATATATATGTATAAATGTGTGTATATATATATATAAATATATATAAATTCCACTGATAGACATTTAGGTTGTTTCTACTTTTTGGCAACAGGGCTGCTATGAACATATTTATACACATATCTGTGGACATGTTTTATTTCTTCATTATATACCTAGGAGAATTTCTGTGCAATGGTAATTTTATGTTTAGCTTTTTGAGGAACCACCGAGCTGTCTACAGCAGTTGAACCATTTTACATTTCCACCAACAGAATATGAGAGTTCCAATTCTTCCCCAGTCTTGCCAGCACCTGCCATTTACTATGATCATGATCACTGCCATCTAATACACATGAAGTAGTATCTCATTGCGGCTTTGAGTTGCATTTCCCTACACTCTGCTGAGAACCTTTTTCATGTGCTTGTTGGCCATTTGTACTTCTCCAAAAAAAAAAAATGTATGTTCAATTCTTTACCTATTAAAAATAAACTATTTATTTACTTGAAGGCAGACGGACAGAGACAGAGAAACCTCCCATCTGCTAGTTCACTCTCCAAATGCCTGCAACAGCTAGGACAGGGCCAGCCCAAAGCTGTGAGCTCATCCAGCTCTCTCATGTGTAGCAGAAACCCAAGACTTAAACCATCACCTGCTGCCTTCCAGGGTACACATCAGCAGGAAGCTGGAACTGGGAGTGAGGCCAGGACTCAACCCCAGGCACTCCTCTAAGGCATGCAGGCAACCCAACCAGCAAACATCCATTTCTGCCCATTTTTCAAGTGGGTGTTTTGTCTATTTATTAATGAGTTATAAGAGTTCTTATACTAGAACCTTATTAAATAAACTTCCAAATTTTTCCTATTCTGTGGGCTTTCTTTTCACTTACTAGATCATCTCCATTGATGTACAAAAATTTTTCATTTAGATCAAGTCCACTTCATCTAATTTTTTCTTTTGTTCCTCTTGCTCTTGGTAGAAATCTAAGAATTTATTGCTAAATTCAAGATCATAGAAATTTGCCCCCAGGCTTCCTATCAGGGCTCTTATGGTTCCAGCTCTTAGACTTAGATCTCCAATTCCTTTTTTAGTTAATTTTTGCAGGCACATGAGATAGGGGCCCAACTT